AGAGAGAGAGAGAGAGAGAGAGAGAGAGAGAGAGAGAGAGAGAGAGAGAGAGAGAGAGAGAGAGAGAGAGAGAGAGAGAGATGCGCTTGCTGTTCTGCTGACACGTTTTCTTTGCTTTGTCATTCTGTCATTGTACGGACTGCCTCACTGCCACGGACGGTTGTTGGATAGATGACTGGAGTCCCTGCAGAGAAATTTCCAGGTCCCCTCTGTGTCAAGAGAAGGTACTGTATCAGATGCACATAAAGTCAGATTACCACTCTTCCCTTCCTGTTGCCTTCCTTTGCTGAGCGTGAACTGTCGACCTGCTCTCCGAAAGGTTGAGCAGGCACTTTCTGTGAGGGATAATCAATAGGTGCTTCCTCCTGCAAATGGATAGTTAATGTCCTGATCATTTCATTTGTGTTACTCCTTTCAACAGAAAGGTTATGGGAATGATGAGAGTTAGATGTGTGTAATATGTAATATGTATATGTGGGTGTATAAGTGAGTGTGTGTTTTGTGGGAGGAAGGGAGGTAAGTCTCTCTGTCTGAGATACCGACGCACACCCATAACTGGACAATTCACCGCTGCTTGGTTGCCTTTCAAAGGTAACAGTATTGGTACAGGCACACTGAAAACTGGGCGGCTTGCTGTTAGTTTTTTTTGTTTTTTTTTCCCTTTTCCGCGGATGATCGTTTGCTGTTAGTTTGTTAATTTCTTGCGGGAACTGTTTTTGTTTTTTGTTTTTTGTTTTTTGTTTTTATACGACGGTGAGGATCTGACATCAGAGGCACACTCACAAACAGAATATTTTTGAGGCAGCCTTGCGGCGCTTATTGTAGTGATGCCACCCCCTCCCCTACCCCCCCTCGGTGCCTCCTCGCTTTGGATTCCCCTGCTCTGCCCAACCTGCTCATGGGGAAGATCACAATTGGGTTTCAACTTCCAACTTTTAAGTGGTGTATGTTTGTTTGCTTGAAGTTCAATCATCCAATTTTGTGTTTTGTTCAGTAGCGAAGTATTCTTTTTCTCATCTTAGCGAAGTCTTCTTTTTCTCATCTTAGCGAAGTCTTCTTTGTCTCATCCTGCACTTGTTTTCTGTTTGTTATGTGTTGGACTGATGCTGGAGCCTTGTCAAGAGTATGGGGCGATGCTGGCTAATCTTCCTCCTCTGTATGATTCCAGTTTTAACGGATGTGTCCCGAAGGAGATGTTTGTTGTTGTCGTTCTCAGCTGGTGGTTTCCCAAGTCCTGTGTACAAAAGTCACATGGATCTGTGCGCAAATCAGCAGAGTATGGCACACTTTCAGTGCTTGTTCCTCTTGCCAATCAATTGTTTTGGCTTCGTCATCATGTCCCAGTCATGGCAGTCGTGGTTCTCATACGTCACTCACCTCAGGCACCACCTCTGTGGTGACGTAAGTGCTATTATATCATGGGCGGTGACATCCCTGTTTGACACTGTTTGAGACGCGACCAAGGACCGGCCGCACGAGCTCTTTTATCTGCATGCGCGCGCCGGGCGGATGGTGTAGAACAACTAATTGTGAGTCAAATTCATGCACCCTCTCCAACCCACCAGAGCCGTTATGAATGGTGATTGGTGTGTCGGCGCTTCGGACCCCGAAGCACTACGGCTGAACTATTTGCGGTGCCTCGTTCCGGGTCACCGATGTGGGTGCGTGCCGAAATTACCCTCGTGTAGTCTTTTCTATTTGGCATTTGGTGATTGAACGAGTTTACAGCTAGAGACGTACCACAACCCACCACTCTCGACATCGGTCCGGTTTTTTGAGGAAGTGAGTGCTGAAGGCAGCAATGCAGGGCCGAGTATTCTCAGTCCTCTGGTGCACAGTACGTGAATCGAAGAGATGATGTTTGGCACCGGTTTGGTTGGTGAGTGGGAATAACTAATGGACACAAGTTTCCATGGATAGCGTCGTCGGGAGGAGGATTTGATTGAAGGTGATTCGTCGTGAGGCCCCAAGTGCACACCGTGGACCCTCTCTTTGAGTTTGTAGGTGTCAGCTTGCTGCACGCGGCAAATGTGTGTACAGGAAGAGATGGCTGTGAGGGGAAGGGAAGGACTGGCTTTTGCTTATATATATTGAGAGGCTGCACCAGCGTCAAGGCCTCAAACAGACCGCCGGGCAGGAGAAATATGTCTGATGTAAGTCGTACTGCGGTCAACAACGTTGGAGCGGTTGCAGAGCACCGCCCGGATATCACCCATCTGAGGAAAGGAAATAGGATTTCTGCGCTTCAGTCAGCCATCAAGTGGCCACCTCTGCGCGTGGAAAGCAGCAAGGCTGTGCAGCTGCTACCTGGGGGACCGCTCCTGACAACGGTTCTTCCCAACTGTCGACAATGTGCAAAACGTGGGAACCTCGGTGGCAGGAGGTTCGAGAGAAAGTCGGATGTGTTTGAGAAGGTGAAGGCGAAGGCTTGTCCGAGGGGGAGGATATTGCTTCTGAAGCCACATATGGTGAAGAGCAAGCATCATATGGCACACATCCCGCTTATGTGCCTCGCTACGGTTGGGTTGTGTTTGACCGACGACCCCCTTTCGCATGGCCAACCATGCAGGACCGCATCCGGAGCTGAGCTGCTTTTGGAAGCCACATATGGTAGCTGCAAAGTACCGATCTATCTGCAACACAGTGTGGTTTGACTGCACGGGCAGTGCAGGTTCTGAACGATTCAGCAGACCATGGTTCTTCGTACTGCTTCCCAATCGAAGGGAGGTTTTCCACTTTGCAGAGTGCGTTGGGTTTTTTGATGGCGAGCAGCGGCTATGTTCTGTATATTCCATTTACGGCTGCTGCTTCATGGATCTATGCCCGTGCATCTTCGGCTGGCCAGAGTTCAAGAAGGGGGGATTGGATGCTGCTTGGGGAGAGCTGAAGCCCGGGGCCTCTCTGCACTGTGCTTATATATTGAGCTTGTCCTTGTGAAAACTATTCTGGAAACCACGGTATAGGAACTGCAGACGTGATGCCTGTGCTAAGTCGGCAAGGATCTTGTCCATCGGGTTTCATGCCAGATGTTGTCCAAATGAAGGCTGTAGGTGCATGCCAGTGGTGGGACTCGCGCCGAGTTCGTATCACATACCGACCGACGTGTGCAAGCGGAAAGAGAATGGAAGGGAGAGGAGATGAGGAGGTGCTTTGCATTGCGCAGGCCAACATGTTGAGTGCTGTGGTGAGGTCACAGAGTTCCAAGGTGCTACGTTTTCAGAAAGGAAGGACTACCGTCTCCCCTCGAATATAATGCCCGGCACTGTGATCTCACCGCTGCAGTGGTCCTCGATGACTTCACGTCAAGTCAAGGGGACCCTGCAGGTAGGTACGTTGAATGGCTCCTACAGTACATGTGGAGTGATTGAGGACTGCTGCTTCAAAGAGAAGGATGGAAGGATGGCCATGTTATATGTGGTGGAACAGGTGGGAGCAAACCCCACCAATATATGCTGTGGGTTCGAGTTCAGGGCTGTAGCTCGGCAGTTATGGGTCACCAATTCCGCTAGATGCTGTTCGCATCTCCACGTGATCATCAGGGCCTCCCTCCCCGCCACTCACCAAATGTATATTATTATAATATTAGTAGAGTGAATCTTCTGCTAAAACATGGAACCATACACCGCGGTATGCGCTGTCGTTTGTGCATGTGGTGAGTAGTGGAGCAGGCCCCACTGTACGTATTCATCAGAAAAACAAAAACCAAAAAAACGAGAGAGCTACAGCCAGCCTATAGGCATCTCCATCCTAAGCTAAGTTCCTATAACCCATAACTGCCGACCCGAATGCCAATCTTCATGCATATATTGATGGTCGGCTGGCCGTGCAAAAAAACACATTTAGTGACTTCTGCGAAGCATGGCGGGGCAGGACGCTGTTGGGCAACTATCCCCCCTTGGTGCAAATTTTCCCCACCACTGTGTGGGATTTGCAGAAGGGACGGGGAAGGCCAGGTTCCACACCCCGCCCAAAAAAAAAAAAAGTTGGAATGAGCCCTTTTAAACCCTATTTTAGTATGTTAATTTTCATTCATGATTCGCCATTTTGAAACTTTTGGGGGAAGGGCCTGCCGCCTGCGGAAATCGAAAT